TCAAAATCCTGACCTGAATCTGATTGAAATGCTGGGATTTTGTATGAAGCTGAGTTACATAAGCTGGAACTTGACAGTCACCCAGGTCATGGTCTTGAGAGCATGAAAATGACGTCTTAAGGGTCCTACTGCTGCAGCCATTTGTTTTATTCTAATAACACTCCTCCTCCATCGGGGGTCACCACAGCAGATCATCTCCTTCCATCTCACCCCACCTCCAGTATCCTCCTCTGTCACACAAATCCTTTACAGATTGTTCTTCACTACATCCACAAATCCTCTTTGTGTTTTTTTTAACCTCCTACCACATTCAGGGTCTTTTGTCCAACATACCCACAGTCCTTCCTCTGTTTATGTCCAAACCATCTTGACCTCGCCTCTCTAACTTAACCACATGTTTTGAGACAGAATAAATCAATATGTTGATCAATTCTAAATCTTTTCAAAACAGATGATCATAAAGAGAGTCTCCTAATGTTTAATAATTCATATTTAATAGTTTTGCTCTTTGGTGCTGCTTTATCTCAGGTGGTCTAAGAGCAGACAAAGGCTCTATGGGGTGGTGTTTTGGGGCTATGGGCAGGACTGGACTGGGACAAAAAATCAGCCCGGGCATTTTGACTAAAGACCGGCCCACCAGGTATTATAGGAAAAGCCATAAAACCTTTGAATGAAAACAAATGCTGTCATGACAGTGATGTACAGTCTTGTTGGTATATATGTATCAATCTAATAAACTTAAACCTACACCATCCTCCCTATTCTGGTATTTTAAACAGTACATGTCACCTAAAAGGTAAACCTGTTTCTCCATCACCTGTTCAGCTCTGATGATTCAGTAAGGACATCTCCTGGTTTCATCTTCACCAGATATCCCAACCGATATAGTGAGAGGGAAACTGTGTGTTGACCAGCAGCTTTACAGCTGTGGCTCCAGCAAACATCAGCTGATACTAGAAAGTAATATTAAATAAATTATAACAACAGCTAATCAAGCTTAAATGTGCTGCTGTTGTTTAGTGCGACGATAAACAAACGAGACGGGACTTAGGACAGCAAAGCCGATCGGCTGATCATTGATCAGTTTCATGATTGAAGTAGCAACAGGAGA